GCGCTAATAAATAAATAAATAAAAAGAATCATTAGGCATGCAATGATGAAAAAGAAAAAAATTATTATCCAGAGGCTTTCAAAACAAATAGTACATACAAACTTTGTAATAGATTAGCCGCATGTTCATATGCTTGTGCCAATAGGCAAAGCGAAAATGTAGCTACTGGATTATGACACCAAGATTTGTATAAGGTTGTAAACAACATTTGACCGTCTTTTGTTTCAAGATTTTTGAGTCTTTTTCGCAGATCCGAAAGCTCAGGGGAAGTGATGAGAATGCTATTAAGATTTTGAACCATGCTAGAAGCAAATTCGATATCCTACAACAATATAAATGAAAAAAAAACCAGATTAGTTATTCATTACGAATGACAGAATTTAATCACATCTGATGGCATTTATTTATACCTCCTCTTTCTCAAGAATCTCCGCAAAGCTACGGTATATGCGCTCTGAATTAAGGCTTAAACATAGATTACGAATAATTAGACTTCCTCTTGTTTCAAGCAATTTCCGATCTGTACTAAATGATCTTAATAAATCCCCCATAAAGCGCGTAAAGTATTCATCTTCAAAACTTGAAGATAGTTGCGCGAGAAGCTGAAGATCTCGTTTAACTACCTAAATTAAATTTATTAGGATCGCATAAATGAATTGTAAATTTTACGACAAAAAAAAAAAACAACCCAAAAAATCGAATTTACCTCTTCAGATGGATCTGAAAGAATATCTAATAAAACTGGAAAAGTACCATCATCGATCGCAAGAATCTACAAGTATTTGTAAACGATGTAAATGATTATTAAGTATTTTAAAAGGTGAATTGTAATGTTATTCATCCATTATTACAAACCTTCTTTGGTGCTTTTTTATGAAGCATCAAAAGCCAGTCCAAACTTGCAACTCTGGTTTCCTCATGTATATTTGAGAATTGCCGCACCAAAGCCTCAACAGTAGCCTGATAATCGAAGGGATCAACGTGCTCATCTATTGAAGGAAGTGAGTTGGGTGTATAAGCACTTCCGTTAGGTGCTGATGGTAATGTAGGTTCCTTTGTCACCATTGAATAAGGCGGCGGCTGTAATGATGGTTGGCCATTAGTTGAAGTTTCCAGAATAATCTTGTGAAGATTTTTATTTAATTCCACTGCACTATTTCGAATAGGTAAATATATTTGTCAAGAAGAATATTCGTAAACAGCATAACTGAAAATAATTATGACATTATATGAAATCATATGAAGGATATTTGGAGTAGAATGCGCCAAGGAAGGTAATACAGCGCTTATCAGCTGTGGTGTAAATGAAATTATTACTTCTTTGGCGATATGTATGAATTCATTTATCCATTTCAATGCTGTAGCTTGAATCTCTTCCTCTAAAAGAAATTATTTTACTATTTAATTGGCATAATAGTATCATAAGTTAATTTAAACCAGAGTAGAAACTCTACCTGGAGAACATAAGTGGTCCATTAAAATTTGAACAATTCTAACATAATTAATTACAACACCTTGACCTGGAACCCATGAACCTTTTCCCCTTCCTTCAGTTTCACTTAATGAGATAGCATCCCAATTAATGTCCCCATCTATCGAATTAGGGCCCAATGTTGTATCATCACTATCGCCTTTCGTACTTCCATCTTTCACACTCTCTCCAGCTTCACTAACAGTCTCGGACGCAACGACCATTTTCCGTTGTTGTTCGACAAAATAACTCTTCATTGCCTGCTGTTTTTGGTGTTCCTTAACTTCAAATGCTTCACGTATCTCAGCCAAAAAATTTGCCAGTATGGATGACGTAGCATTTCTTATGTCTTTATTCGGATCGCTTAAAAATTGTAGTAGTCCATCCAAAAAATCCGGTAAAAATGACACAAGTTCAAGATCTGGAATTGAATCTAACACAGTAATCCACGATACCAAAAAGTTGCGCGTGAAAGGATTTTTTGCATGAATGCGTTCAGCGAGAAGCGGAATGAACCGGGGCAAAGAGAATGCAGTAGTGCGTGGCATTGAAACTGGCTCTGTTGAATCATCGTGTGACATAGATGCAAGAACCAAAGCGGATACATATGTAGTAGACTGTTCAGCAACGATATCCTTAATCAATCTATCCAAAAGTTCGGTTCCATTTTTGACAGAAACTTCGGAGTCTGCCGCCAGCTATATTAATTCATTCATTGTAATTTATCGCGTTAAATGTTGATGTAATATGCTGAGAGGTTAATTTACTTTTAGATACTTTATGGGGTATCCTAGAAGATTGAATTTGTGAAAAATCATTTACCTTACTCATCGCATCAAACACTTCATTAAAATACCGTAAAATTTCACCTTTAGACACCTTGGCGATATTATACATGCTTTCACAAGCATAATACCTTACGCGTGAATCTTGATCACTAAAACAAGCAAGGACAGGTGGAACAATTTCGTCCAAATACACTGCTACGTTCTAAATAATAAAATTCTTATTCAGCATAAATCAACTATAATATTATACTTCAAATATGGTTACTTACTGGCCCTAACGCGATTGACGCGGCTGCCAAACCTATAAGACCTCCGTTACGTGAATTTGCTTGCTGAGAACATGCAAAATCAGAAACAAGTTTATTTAGAATAGCCTTGATTTTATCTGGTTCTTTATTATCGGTGTGTTCACGGATTAATCTAAAATTAGGAAGTAAAGACTGTTAGAAAAGAACTATTTTTAAAGGTTTTAAGAATAGAATTCTTAAAGCCAAGACACTTACTTTTCTACTTCTAGCGCCGCAGTCTTTCGTTTCTCGTAAACTCTATCATTGAGTCCACGAATTATTTGAGCGTTCAAAGCGGAGCTGTCCGCCATGACTGGTCAGTGATGTATGCTACAATCTGTTTAGGAATTAGCGAAAATTAACGAAGAATGGTTTACTGATCTGTTCTTGATGCACAAGATTGATGCAAAACCCTGCATTTACGAAAGAATTTGTGTTACGTACTAAAACCGGGATCAGTTTAAATTGTCAACGTATTAATAATCGAAATCCCAAAAAGGTTGTTTAAAGTGTTGTGCAATCATATGTTAGGGTTAGAGCATGCCTTATAGGTAAAATCACCTTCCTCGACATTTTTTTATTCTTCGTTTTTCTACTTTTTTCTTCGTCGGGATGATCCGTGTTGATCAAACAAACAAGCTGATTGACCTGGTGTCACGTGATTGTACATAAAGATCGGCTAAAGAATTAACGTTAACTTTTTGATTTGCCAGGTTGTGGCGGTCAAATAATTTTGTTGATAATAAAATTCTTTGATACGTATTAGGGTTAGCGTTTATATTAATGCCAAGTAATGTATTACGTAGCAAACTACATAACAGAGTAACATCCGCTATTTTTTTTGCATTTTCCGAGTTGGTAATGACCAGGTCATTTGCTTATTTCTTAAATGACTTTAAATGACCGACCATTTTTGGTTATTTGTATTTTAGATCATTTGCAAACGAATAGGGATGTTAAATTGCGAATCCGGTCCGGTCCGGTCCTAGAACCTGAAACGACGGTCCCAGACCTGATACAAAAAACCGTTAGTTGATCGATCCCAGGACCGGATCCTAAGCTGCAATCCTTCATCCAATCAGATTGATACTTTTTATAAAAAAAACTTTGAGAAAATTTTTATTTGATATTTCAATGATCGTTTTTACAAAAATTTATACGTATAAAAAAATTTTTTATATAATATAAAAAAATAAAATTATATAAAAAAAAAATTTATATAAAACAAATTTATATAAGAAAAAAAATTATATAAAAAAATTTTTTTATATAAAAAAAAAAAAATTATTTGTTTAAACACTAACATCATTTACCTCTTCGTTTAACACATCACTTAGCTCTTTATACCAGCTTTTTAAACACAAAGATGCTTGTGCAACTTCAGAACTTAAGCGATTTCGAGTGGGGCTAATCATATACTTTGCGACAAAAAAGGCCTGCTCGCTAGGCACACTAGTTGATTGCACAGAAAGAATATCCATTGCAAGGTGGGAGAGGATTGGGTATTCTGATGAATTTGCTTTCCACCACAGGAGTGGAGCTGCCTCAGTCTCAGGCTCAGCTAGGTACCTTAAAATTTCTCATTGACTAGGGTTAACTTGATGGAAATTCAAAAGACTACAGAAGAGCTCACGTGTTGATTTAATAGTAGTAGTAGAAAGTGGTAATGGTAGTGATGGTTTATTTTCTTCAGCTGGCTTATAATTGTTATATATTTCATGAAGTTTATTAATGGCTTGTTCACATTCACTAATTTCATAGGTTGAAAGTTTATTACACGAATCAAGAAGGCCCGAAATTGTTAAGGACTTATTTAGGTGGGTCCAATACATCATAGCTTTTACTCTCATTATATTGGCAATGGCATGTTATGTATTAATTTCTGGAGTTCCATTATTATTTAAGTATATAATAAGACTACGGAATATCATATGCAAGTCACCTTGGGTAGAAAGTGTTGAAGAAGATAGCATTATAGTCACATGGTATATAGGCTTAAGAAGAATTAACAGGTCCTGTAATTCTTATATAATTAAATTAAATTTATTTAAACAAACTTATTTAAGTAATGAAAATACTAACAAAAATAATATCCCATTCTTGTTCATTTGGATAGTTTAGTTTTAAAGTTTGGTTGCTCACCACAAGAATATCAGTTGTATATTAGAATCCTGACACACAAAATCCCAACACACAAAATCCTGGCAACAAAATCCCAATACACAAAATTCTGACAAATTAAATTCCTAATTTTAATATTTTTAGGATTTTAATTTGTCA